CTTCCCAAATGCTGGGAGGCATAGCTACCGTGCCTGGCCTTTACCATTTACCACAACTAAAAAAAAAAGTTTATAAAAAGCTAGTGAGCTCACCCCGCTTAACTTTGTTTTCACTCCTCATGTTGTCAGCCTCTACAGCTGTTGTGGTGTGCATCTAGCCTGTGGCTTCTGCTGCTTGGTATTCCATGACTTTCAAGCACATGTGAGGTCCCAATTCCTCAGGGAGCAGAGCCTGAACCTGTGGCGATATCCTGAGGGAGGGGAGAAGTGGGGTTGAGGCTCTTTCTGTGACTTGGCCTCCATCTTCACAGTAAAATTGAAGGCTGTGCAGAGGGACGTGGGGGAAAACCCGGCAGCAGCTGCAGAGAATGGCAGCTAGACCTCAGGAGATGGAATCTAGATGGTTATGTAGCCTGGGCTGCGGAGGATACAGGCAGCATGGCTTAGGGCTCTTCCTCAGCAAAACTCGGCCACGCCACGCTGTGAGCAGAGGACTGGAAGGCACCAGGAAGAAAGAGCAGGAAGCGTGGGGCTGCCTGCCTGTGGCTACAGGTCCTTGGGAGACGGCAGGGACACAGTGGGCGTGGCCTCCCAGGGCATTCAGGCTGGGTAAGTTGAACTGGAATGGAGTCAGAGGTGCTAGAAGCCTGGGGTGTCTCACTTGCTATATTTTAGACAATATTGTATACAGCCATTGATAATGGTAGTTAATGCTGGTAAACACTCACGAATGTTAAGGACTATTCTAAGTTTCATAAGTTTCTTCTTTTGTTTTTTTGGAGTTGGAGTCTCACTCTGTCGCCCAGACTGGAGGGCAGTGGCCGCTCCCGGCCACCGCAGCCTCGACCTGCTGGGCTCCGGCGATCCTTCCGCCTCCGCCTTCCGAGTAGCTGGAACTACAGGCGCGTGCTACCACGTCCGGCTAACTTTTTTGATTTATTGTAGAGACGAGGTCTCGCCCAGGCAGGTCTTGAACCGGCGGGTTCAGGCAATCCACTCACCTCAGCCTCCCAAGGCGTGGGATTACAGGCTGAGCCACCGAGCCCGGCCATAAGTTTCTTGCTTAATTAACTTTATGTTGTAAGCCTCATGCCTCTTGTGTTATTTATTTAAATGGCTTGACATTTTACCATGCATGATATCTAGTGTGTTTACAAGTGAACATTTAAAAATTTAATTTAATTTAATTTATTTATTTTTGAATCAGAGTCTCACTCTGATACCCAGGCTGGCGTGCAGTGGCATGGTCACAGCCACCACAACCTCGACCTGCTGGGCTCAGGTGATCCCCCCGCCTCAGCCTTCCAAGTAGCTGGAACTACAGGCACGCACCATCATGCCCGGCTAATTTTTTTTTTTTTAATTTCTTGTAGAGATGAGGTCTCACCATGCTGCTCAGGCTGGTCTTGAGCCCCTGAGCTCAGGCAATTCTCTTGCCTCTGCCTCCCAAAGTGCTGGGATTACAGGCGTGAGCCACCGCACCTGGCTTGTTTTTTCCATTTTGTTTTGCTATTATGTTATACTGGGCAGGTGGGGTGGCTCATGCCTGTAATCCCAGCCCTGTGAGAGGCTGAGGCAGGGGAATCTCCTGAGACAATGAGTTTGAGGCCAGTCTAGAAAATGTAGTAAGACCTAGTGTCTAAAAAATAAAAATAATAATAATAATAATTACCCGGTTGTGGTGGTGCATACCTGTAGTCCCAACTACTTAGGAGGCTGAGGGGGAAGAATCGCCTGTGCCCAGGAGGCCGAGGCTGTGGTGAGCAGTGATCGTGCTGCGGCACTCTAGCCTGGGCAACAGAGGGTGACCCTGAATCAAAACCAAAAACCAAAAACAGCTAACTTGTAATTGCTGATAATTGGAGTGTATATTTAGGACTACTTGAATCTATATCCCTGGGTTACAGTCCTCAAGCTTGGCCCACATAAACTCTCTGCTTATATTGATTTTGCCTCAGCTTCTTCCTTTTAGGTCGAGAGCGTATTCATGAGTATGCTTGGTTTTGTTACAAACCCAGAAGGGACAGTCCTGATTTGGGAGTTTTCTGCTTCCTTCATCCTGGCTTGAAGTTGGCTGCATCCCATCCTAGGTCAAGGAAGGAGAGGTGGGCTTCCTGAAATTTCCAGAACAAGTTAGGACTGCTGGGGACCTTTCAGAAACTCACAGGACCTGTCAGTTTTAGGCCCTCACTGACCACTCCCTGCCCTCCTGCCAGGACCTTTGCTTCTCTGGAGATAAGCTCTGTGGAGAACCAATGGCTGTCAGCTTTCAGAGAGGGAAGAGGAGGGGCAGGAGAAATGGTCTTTTTTGTTGTTGTTTTTTTTTGAGTTGGAGTCTCACTCTGTTGCCCAGACTGGAGTGCAGTGGCTGCTCCTGGCCACCGCAGCCTTGACCTGCTGGGCTTTGGCAATCCTTCCACCTCAGCCTTCCAAGTAGCTGGAACTACAGGCATGCTACCACGCCCAGATGATTTTTGATTTATTGTGGAGATGAGGTCTCGCCAAGTTGCCCAGGCGGGTCTCGAACCTGCGGGCCCAGGCAATCCACTCACCTCAGCCTCCCAAAGGCGCGGGATTACAGGCTGAGCCACCGAGCCCAGCTGAGAAATGGTCTTTTAAGAAGAAAATGTGACCTATTCTCTCAGGCAGGACTGGAGAAGGAGAGGAAGGAGGGAGGACTGACCGGACAGGATGTGTTTCCTCCGGAATTGGTGGGGGGGGGGGGCGGCTTTATACTCAGAATGACCCCAGTTAGTCTTTGAAGTCACAAAGGAGGCAGGGGGCTTGGATTAGTCACCAGATCAAGGTGGAAGGTGGGAATTCCAGCCACCCCGCTGAGCATGGGAGGGGTGAGTTTAGTACCTTGGAAGGAAGCCAGTGATCCCAGGAAGCTGGGAGCATACACAGAGAAGGAAGGATTTGGATTCATTTGGGAATGACAAGTGTCGAATCTAAGGGACGTTGAAGGCTGTCTTGGAGAGGCTGAAAAGCTCAGGCACCCACACTCCTTGGTCCCTGCTAGAAACCTGAGGTGGATGCCCCAGAGAGCTCTGGAAGAGCAGGAGAAGGACTGCAGTTGAGGGGCTCCGTGGATGGCCTAGGTCTTCTCACTGCCGTGGGAGGCTGGGGTTGGGAGCAGAGTGCCGGCATCTGGGGCAGAGACCCCAAGGACTGGTGGACCAGGGACCCTTTTTTCCATCCTCCTGTGAGGGCAATATCTTGACAGGCAACAATTTTTAATTTTTGAGTTGGAGTTTCTCACTCTGTCGCCCAGGCTGGAGGGCAGTGGCACACTCACAGCCACTGCTGGGCTCTAGTAATCCTTCCACCTCAGCCTTCCAAGTAGCTGAAACTACAGGCAAGCGCTTCCATGCCTGGGTATATTTTTTTTTTAATTTATTGTAGAGATGAGGTCTCACCATGTTGCCCAGGCTGGTCTTGAACTTGTGGGCTCAGGCAATCCTCTATCCAAACACTCCACCATACCATGCTCTGTGCAGTTCTTCACTGGGAGGGATCTCTGTGCACTAAGTGTCCTGGCAACGCCCATGAACACCAGCTGTGGCTCTTAGTTATTGCTACAACCACACATTGCTAAATACTCTCAATAATCCTTCTATCACCCTTGGCTGAGAGCTACCTTATCTCCCTTGGTGCTGGGGAAGTGTCTTCTGCCCCCACTAGTCATTTCCTGGTATAGAAACACAGCGACATGGCCAGCCTGAGCAATATAGCGAGACCCCCATCTCTACGAAAAAATAATTTTGAAAAAATGAGCCGGGCACGGTGGCATGCACCTGTAGTCCTAGCTACACGGAGGCTGAGGCAGGAGGATCACTTGAGCCCAGGAGTTCAGGCTGCAGTGAGCTATGATTGCACCACTACACCGTAGCCTAGGCAACAGAGTGAGACTGTCTCAAAAGAAATCAAACAAAAATAAACAAACAAAAAACACAGAGACATGGAAGCCAGTGGCATGTGCTGTTTATTACAATAGCGTCCACAGGCGAGGAAGAGAGAGGCTAGGCCAGTTGGGTGGTGAGCAGGACAAAAAGCGTGGAGACCAGAAAGTGGGCTACAAGCCCTGTCCCTCAGGGGGGCACTGCAGAAGCATCACCTACCCTTTAGTAAAAATATACTCAGAGATAGAGGGAGAGGGAGATTGTGGGGAAAATCCAGCTACCAGAAGCTTAGCTGGAGAAAAAGAAACCCTTTGAGCTGGGAGGGTGGGCATGGCGTTCTGCTGCTGGGGTAAGTGTGGCATCTGGGCCCAGGCACTGCCACCCAGAGCCCCTTCCATCGGCAGACTGAAGAGCTGAGGACTGCAGAGGTGCCCCACCCTCCTGGGACTGGAGCCCTGCTGGCAGTGGCAGCCGGCCAGCCCCCCGCAGCGCAGCTCCTATCCCCACATGATTGCCTGCAGCCACTGTGGAGAGAGAAGTGGCAGGTCCCCAGGATCAAGAGGTGGGGGTGGGGCAGGACTGCGTGGGGAGCAGGAGGGGGGATGGGGAAGCTGAAGATCACTTTTCACCCCCCACCCAGTACCTGCTCCAGGTTCAAGCGGATATGGCCGGTATTCTGGGGGTCCATGGTTAGAAAGAACGCTGTTTTAGGGAGGAGATGGGGACGGGTTTAGGAGCTGAGTCAACAGTCTGAAAGACCTGCTCCCAGCTAGGTAAGATGTCAGGGAGGGCAAAACACGTTGTTCCTGCTGGTACCCAGATAAATCCTCCAGTGCGGCAGGGAATTAGTGATAACAACTCTTAGAGTCTTGTTAGGAGCCAGACCCAGTTCTGAGTGCTCTCCATAGACTAACTCATCTAATCTGCACCTGAGACCTTTGTGGGCCGTATTATTATTATCCGTTATATAGAGGTGAGATAAAGGGATTTGCTGAAGACACAGCGCCAGCAAGTGGTGGAGCTGGGATTTGAACCCAGTCTGTGTGCTGTAAAGGGGAGGAGTTCTGAGTATGTGGGAGAGGGTCAGTGGTCCTGCCCAGGCTGGGGAGTGGGCGGGCACCTGACTCACCGAACATGGCCTTCAGCCTCAGAAAACAGCAGATAAAACTGTCAAAGTCTACAATCATGTCATCATCTGCATACCTGGCCACCAGCACCTGCATCACCTTGTTGTTCAACTTGATGCCTGGGAAAGAGAGAAGTGGGGAGGGGAAGAGGCCAGGTCTCTGGCTACTGCCACCCTCTTCCTTGCCCCAAATCCCTGGCCACCTGCTTTCTCAATTGCCAAGCGCATCTCGTAGGAGTTCAAGGTGCCTGAGCAGTCCTGGTCACATGCTCGGAAGATGTCCTGAAGAGACAGATGTGGTAAGGCCATGGGCAGGGTATGGCAGTGGAAATAATGAAATACTTGAGTACAGTTTACTCACAACCAACCGCCCAAGACCCCATGGACCCCCCACCCTGGTCTACCCCAGGAGCTCCCACGATTCCTGCAATCTGGTGACTTAGGGTTAAATCCTGGCATAGCAGGGATTTCTGGTACGCTGCCCAGTACTCTCTGTCTCATCCTCTTTGTTGACACCTGGGCTATACTGGTTATTAAATATACTTTTATTTTTTCTTTCTTTCTTTCTTTTTTTTTTTTTTTGAGTTGGAATCTCACTCGGTCACCCAGACTGGAGTGCAATGGCACACTCCTAGCCACTGCAGCCTCGACCTGCTGGGCTCTGGCGATCCTTCCGCCTCAGCCTTCCAAGTAGCCAGAACGGCAGGTGTGCACTACCACATCCGGCTAATTTTTTTGATTTATTGTAGAGATATGAGGTCTCACCAAGTTGTCCGGGTGGGTCTCGAACCCACGGGTTCAGTCAATCCACTTGCCTCGGTCTCCTAAAGTGCTGGGGTTACAGACTGAGCCACCGAGCCCGGTCTAAATATACTCTTAAAAATTATATTTTGTTTTTTTGAGCCAGGGTCTCACTCTGTCACCCAAGCTGGAGTGCAGTGGCAGGATCATGGCTCACTATGGCCTCTACCTCCTGAGCTCAGGCTATCCTTCGACCTCAGCCTCCCGAGTAGCTAGGACTACACATGTGCACCACCACACCCAGCTAATTCTTTTATTTTTTTGGAGAAATGAGATCTTGCTTTGTTGCCCTGTCTGGTCTCGAATCCCTGGGCTCAAGTAATCCTCCCATCTTGGCCTCCCAAAGTGCTGGGATTACAAGTGAGCCACTGTTCCTGGCCCCCTTTCTTTGAGTAGGAGTCTCACTCTGTCAGCCAGGCTGGAGAGCAGTGGCAAGCTCATGGCCACCACAGCCTTGGCCTGCTAGGCTCAGGCAATCCTTCTGCCTCAGCCTTCCAAGTAGCTGGAACCACAGATGTGCACTACCACACTTGGCTAATTTTCAGTGATTTATTTATGAGATTTATCTTGTCAAGTTGCCCAGGCTGATCTCAAACCCCTGGACTCAGGCAATCCTCTTGTCTCTGCCTCCAAGGCGTGAGCCACCACACCTGGCCTCCTGGCATCTTTATTTTTAAATTGAGAAAGGGTCTCCCTATGTTACTTGAACTCCTGGCCTCAAGGAATCCTTCTGCCTCAGACTCCCAAAGTGCGAGGATTACAGGCGTGGGCCACCATGTCCTGTCAGGTTATTAAATATTTTGACTAGGTGATATTCCAATGCCTCAACTGATCCTTTCTGTGTGTCCGTGTATGTGTGCGTGTGTGTCTCTAGTGGAGGCTCCAGTCCTAGCTTCCCCCTCACTCATCCTCTCTTGAGGTCTCCCTTCTCTCACCACCATAGACTGCCCCTTCAGTGCCTTTTACCGTCCATTTCTTGAGTTTTTTCCACAGGATCTGGAACTCTAGAAGCCCCAACTTGCCAGAGCCATCTTTCTGGGAGATGGTCAAGGATAGTAGAGAAGGGAGTGAAGAGGGTATCCCGAAGGACAGAGAATCAGGGGGCCCTGCTGAGGGGACGCTCAAGACTTGGGGGTTCCTGTGTGGCAACAGCCAGAAGAACTGGCATCTTCCACCAGCCCAGAGCCCAATCCCCATCAGGAAGCAGGGCATGGCTGGCCAGAGGCGGTCACTTCTGGGCCAGGCTCGGGGGTGGGGCAGAGGGCTAAGAGAGCCCCAGACAGGACTGCTCACTGGACAGGAAGATACATCCATAAGGTTGACCATGCAGCGGCAAGCATCCAGGCCGAAGCCCTTGGTCTTGAGGCTTTTGACTGAGGGCGGGAAGGGGCCGAAAGATGAGATGGATGAGTGGGGTATTGCGGGGGGAACGGGGGTGGTCGAGGTGGGCACAGAAGGCGGGGGAAGGGCTGCGAGTGTGGGGCAGGACACTCACATTTGATGGCCATCCTGTTGAGCAGTCTCTGGAGCTCGTACCTACCGATCTCTTTGCCCTGGAAAGGGACCGAGAACCCTACTTCAGTCCTCCGGTCCCACACCTGCCTCCCATGCGCCCTGGCCCACGGCCCGCTCACCTCTCCTGCCACGATCTCAAACAACTGTATTAGTTCCTGATGGATGTCAATCTCCGAGACTTTTTCCTGGGGGCATGAGAGGGAGAAAGGGACCCAGTCCAGAAACGTCCTTCACATCCCCAGGGTGCTTCCTTCCAGCTCCCCAGTGGCGGAGCCTCCTCTCACCTCTTGGAGCTGTTCCGCATAGTTGACTTCATCCAGTTCCCTGGGCAGAAGTGATTGAAGGCTGGGGGGAGGGAGTTACCAGGGGTCCGGGAGGTGGGGATTTCAGTGGGGTGGTCTGGAGAAGGTCACGTCATGTGTCTGAAGCAATATAGAACAGCTCTACGGAATCGGGCTTCTAGTTCTGCTTCTGCTACTGATGGGACTTCACCCCCTCCTGCCTCCGTTTCCCTGACTGTAAAATCAAGTAGGGAGGACCAGCTGACAGCTCCCTTGACATCCTACAGCTCTCGGGTGGGGGCCTTGGGGAGGCCAGGTGCATCCCTCACCAGGTCTCGCTGTGCTTCTCTGTGAAGACCCGGAGCAGGAAGTCGCCATCTATGTGTGGCTCGAAGGTGGAGGGGATGATGATGTAGTCCCCAGGGGGCAGCCGGAGCTGGCTGCTCACCTCCCTGGAGTTGGTGAAGATCTCCGAGAAGCCATTGTCCTGGTACTTCACAAAGAAGTCCTTCTTCAGGTGGACGTCCTGGAGGTTCTGAAACTGTGCACATCCCGGAGGTGGGTGCAGGGCTGGCGTGGGAGGTCAGGGGGCGAGGGCCCCCAAGTGGACAGTCTGGCCCGACCTGGACACCACCCAAGAGGCAGGTAGCCCCAGTGCGCTCTCTTCTTCCCCTACCCTCTGCCAGGGCCAGAGGGGGCTAGACTCTTAATCCGGTGCCCCCCAGAGCCTTTCACCAAATCCCCCCCTTGCCAATTCACATGCAGCCAGGGGCAGGGTGGGTGCCTGCCCAGGAACAAGCCCCACGTCCTCGTCTTCCGTACCTCCTTTGGGACCTGAGGAAAGAGAGGAGGGTCAGATCTCAAGGGTGGTGATGGGGCAGAAGCCAGGTGGAGTAGGGTGGTTGTGTGTGTGTGTGTGTGTGTGTGTGTGTGTGTGTGTGTGTGTGTGTGTGTTAAGAGCACTGGAACACTGGTGGTGGGGTGGGATGTGGGCTCTGAAAGTTAAAAGTTCCTGGCATTAAGAATTTTTTATACCTCATCAACAAGGGTACCTAGCCGGGCTTGGTGGCTCAGCCTGTAATCCCACACTTTGGGAGGCTGCGGTGAGTGGATTGCCTGAGCCCGCAGGTTCGAGACCCACCTGGGCAGCTTGGCGAGACCTCATTTCTACAATAAATAAACACACACACACACACAAACAAGGGTACCTGCATGATCAATGTTTATATACCTAAGCCTGAAATGTACCCCACATCTTTATAATAAAATTTTTTTTTTTTTTAGTTGGAGTCTCACTCTGTTGCTGAGACTGGAGTGCAGTGGCCGCTCCTGGCCACCGCAGCCTCGACCTGCTGGGCTCCGGCGATCCTTCCACCTCAGCCTTCCAAGTAGCCGGTACTACAGGCATGCGCTACCACGCCCAGCTGTTTTTTGATTTATTGTAGAGATGAGGTCTCACCAAGTTGCCCAGGTGGGTCTCGAACCTGCGGCTCAGGCAATCCACTCACCTCAGTCTCCCAAGGCGCGGGATTACAGGCTGAGCCGTCAAGCCCGGCTACAATAAAAATTTTTTAAAAAAGAATTTCTTGAGCCTGGGTTCTGTGGCTTAGCCTATAAACCCAGCATTTTGGGAAGCTGAGGTGAGTGGGTTGTCTGAGCCCGCAGGTTCAAGACCAGCCCAGGCAACTTGGCAAGACCTCATCTGTACAATAAATACAAAAATTAGCTGGGTGTGGTCGCGCGCACCTATAGTTCTGGCTACCTGGAAGGCTAAGGTGGAAGGATCACTGGAACCCAGCAGGTCATCACTGGGGTGGCCGTGAGTGTGCCACTGCACTCCAGCCTGGGTGACAGAGTGATACGCCAACTAAAAAAAAATGAATCTCTCAGCTTTGGATAGCAAAGTACAGTTTATAAAAAGCTTTGCTGGAATAGATTTTTATCACTCCACGTTAAGGAAAGGAAGCAGAATTCCAGAGAGGTGAGGTGATTTGTTCAACCACCTCAAGGGACTGCTGATTGAATTGAAAGAATTGGCAGGTACAGTGGCTCATGTCTGTCATCTCAGCACTTTGGGAAGCTAAGGCAGGAGGATCGCTTGAGACCAGGAGTTCAAGACCAGCCTGGACAACATAACAAAACCCCATCTCTACAAAATAAAATTTTAAAAAAGAAATTTTACCAAAAAAAAAAAAAAAAATTAAAAGGGACAAATATGTTTGCAAGAAGATAGGTTAAGTGAGTTACATGGGTAGCCTTATTACTGGGGGTGGTGATCAGCACCTTTGATATGCTCATGTCCACTGTAGAGCTGGGTCTGGGTAGTGTCTTCTCTGACCTCATTTAACCTTGAAAATGTTGCCTTGAGGTATGCCAGTTAACCTCAAGTGGACTCTCAGCCTGGGAGGAGGGCAAGGCTTGTGTCTGGATACTGGCTGGGGGCCTGGCATACACTATTTGCTCCATAAATACTTGTTTTTCTAAGTGAATGCAAGTGAATAAACAAACGGCCATTTCTAGAATCTTGCAAAGCATGGTTTGGCATGGGAAATGCTTCCCAGGGATTCCTCTTGGCCACTGGAGTGAATGCTGTGGGTAGGGTGGCTGGGAGGACACCCTGGGGGAGTGTGGAGAAGTCTCAGCATGTCTGGAAATCAGGACACAGGCTTGACCTTCGCCCCTTGGGTGTGTGAGCACGGGCAAGTGACTTCACCCCTGTAGCCCCCAAAGCTCCTTCCTCTTCCTTAAAAGTGTTAGCAGTAGCCTTTAGAACCGGGCTTAGCACAAAGGAAGTGCTCACTAAGTGGTGGAGATTACCAAATCTGTGAGAAGAAAATGGCCAGACATGACTGGAAGAGCACACAGCTCCACTCAAGAGTCAGGGCTGTGGACCAGGCTCCGTGTCTCATACCTGTAATCTCAGTACTTTGGGAGGCCAAGGCGGGAGGATTGCTTGAGCCCAGGAGTTCGAGACCAACCTGGGCAACACAGTGAGACCTCGGCTCCACAAAAAGATTAAAAAATTAGCCAGGGCTGGGTGCGGTGGCTCAGGTCTGTAATCCCAGCACTTTGGGAGGCCAAGGTGAGGGGATTGCTTGAGTCCATGGTTCGAGAACAGCCTGGGCAACTTGGCAAGACCTCATCTCTACAATAAATTTTAAAAAAGTTAGCCGGGCGTGGTAGCACACTCTTGTAGATCTGGCAACTTGGAAGGCTGAGGTGGAAGAATCGTCTGAGCCCAGCAGGTTGACGCTGGGGTGGCTGTGGGTGTGCCACTGCCCTCCAGTCTGGGCGACAGAGTGAGACTCCAACTTGAAAAAAAAAAGAAAAAAGAAAAAGGAAAAAAAAAGAGTCAGGGCTGTGGAGTGTGTGGGAGCTGGTCCCGCTCCCAGGTGGCCAGTGGCCCTGGGGAGGAAGAAGTAAGGCTGGGTAAGGGAGCGAGAGTGGCTGGGAGACCCTGGGCACCCACCGAGTAGATGACAAACCCAATGGTCTGCAGCTGGGCTCCCTGTGGCCGTGCGTGTCGCCAGTTTTTCTGCATCAGGGCCACCAGGCAGGTGCAGACAACAGCATCATCCTCTGCATCCTCCTCCGGGTCGTCCTCCTCGGGGAGAGAGATCTTAAACTGGGGATTGGTCCAGAATGTGGCTGTGGAGGAAGCAGATCAGGTTGGCTATGCTGGGGGCAGTCCCTTGGCCACGTCTGCCAGGGGATCCCCCAGCCACAGGTCTGCCTCCTCCACAGAGCTGGGGAGATCTGACTGACTCCTGCCCTCGTGGACCCCGACCCCTATGGCCTTGTGCCCCAGGCCAGGTTCTGTGGTGAGTCCATGGCCCCCTCGCTCCCGATCTCTGAGTCCCTTCACCCACCGGGGTGGTTCCTGCAGCCTCCCGCGGTGCTGCCCCTGCGCCAGCTGCCCTCGTAGAAGGTGGTGTGCCAGCAGCTCTTGTGGTCTCCGGAGAGCGCATCAGGTGTGAGGTTGCAGACCTCTAGGAGCGTGAAGTTGTTCAGGAAATCTTGATAGGACATCCTGCGGTGGGGGGCCGGATAGGGGCCGTCAGCCACACACTCGCACCCACAAGCCCCTCCCCAAAGGCTTTCCCCAGAGCCTCCCCACCCAAGATGCAGCGCAGAGGGGAAGGGGAGATGAAGGATGGGCGGTGGGGGTGGGGGGTAGGAAGTCCACCGCAGGGCACTGACCAGAACTCCCCATCCTCCTTCCTGTGCAGCAGTTGCACCTGGATGTCGTGGGCCACCTCTTCCCACTCCCTGGCACTGGAGCAGAGACAAGTAGTAAAAGGAGCGGGGTGGGGACCAGGTGGCACCTCCTTCCTCCCCAAGGGATGCCCTTGCCCCTGAACGTCTGCCCACTAGGGTCCTGAGCTAGATGGGGAATTTAGAGGGAGAGGCTTTGCCCTGGTGTGCAGGGGGTCTTTCCAGGCAGGTCCCCCGGTGGTTTCTCTGGTCGGGGGCACCTACTTGTCGCTCCAGGCTCCATTCCACTCAATCCGGCCCCAGGGATTCCGGACCCGAATCAGTGTTTCCACCTTGCTTCTGCAGTGCACCTGGGGATAGGGGTTAAGGGTCAGAGGCAGGGGGCCAAGAGGACCTTCTCCTTGCCAGGGCCCTCAGGGCAGGGCCCAGCCATCAGGACTCACATCCTGGAGGCCAGTCACTGAGTAAGCGTGTCCTCTCACTAGCATCGTCTGCGTCATGGTTTCCAAGTCACTACTGCTGGTGACCTGTGGAGCGAGAGGAAAGGGCATCAGGACCTTGTCAGGTGGGCTGAGCACCCCAAGTAAGTTGAAAGCTCCAGGCTCATTGTTTTATTTGATTTGATTTTTATTTTTTTGAATTGGAGTCTCACTCTGTTGCCCAGGTTGGAGTGCAGTGGCATGCTCACGGCCACTGTAGCCTCTACCTTCTGGGTTCAGGTGATCCTTCTGCCTCAGTCTTTCAAGTAGCTGGAACTACAGGTGAACACTAGCATGCCCAGCTAATTTTTGATTTATTGTAGAGACGAGGTCTCACCAAATTGCCCAGGCTGTTCTCAAACCCCTGAGCTCAGGCAATCCTCTCGCCTTGACCTCCCAAAGTTCTGGGATTACAGGCTTGAACCAACACGTCCAACCCAGGCTCATTATTTTAAACTAAACTTTTAAATTATTACAATTATTTTGAAATAATTGTACGTTAGGCTTGAGCCACCATGCCCAGCCTAAGACCCTGTCTCTTAAAAACTGAAAAAGAGCCAGGCTTGATGGTTCAGCCTGTAATCCCAGCACTTTGGGAGGCCGAGGCAAGCAGATTGCCTGAGCCCACAGGTTCGAGGCCCACTCGGGGAACTTGGTGAGACCTCGTCTCTACAATACATAAAAAATTAGCCGGGTGTGATGGTGCGTGCCTGTAATTCTGGCTACTTTGGCAGGCTGAGGTGGAAGGATCGCTGGAACCCAGCAGGTAGAGGCTGCGGTGGCTGGGAGCGTGCCACTGCACTCCAGTCTAGGCGACAAGTGAGACTCCAACTCAGAAAAAGAAAAGAAATAATTTTAGATTCACATACAGTACATAAGAAATAATATGCCATTTCCCCAGTGGTATTATCCAGCAAAACTATATAGCACAAGATCAAAACAGAACGTTGAGATTGAGACTATTCATCTACTACGACCGAATACAGATCAACCGAATACAGATTAATTGCCAGTTTTGCTATTGCTCATTCATGTGTGTTCTATGCAATTTCTTTCTTTCTTTCTTTCTTTCTTTCTTTCTTTCTTCCTTCCTTCCTTTCTTCCTTCCTTCCTTTCCTTCCTTCCTTCCTCCCTTCCTTCCTTCCTTCCTTCCTTCCTTCCTTCCTTCCTTCCTTCTTTCCTTCCTTCCTTCCTTCCACCTCAGCCTTCCAAGTAGCTGGAGCTACAGGCACATGCTACCTTGCCTGGTTAATTTTTAAAATTTATTGTAGAGATGAGGTCTCACTGAGTTGTCTGGGCTGGTCTCAATCTCGTAGGCTCAGGCAATCCACTCGCCTCAGCTTCCCAAAGTGTTGGGATTACAGGCTGAGCCACCGAGCCCGACCTCTTTTGTTTTTTGTTTTTTTGTTTTGAGTTGGAGTCTCACTCTGTTGCCCAGACTGGAGTGCAGTGGCCGCACCCGGCCACCGCATCCTCGACCTGCTGGGCTCCGGCGATCCTTCTGCCTCAGCCTTCCGAGTAGCCGGAATTACAGGCATGTGCTACCACGCCCAGGTGATTTTTTAATTTATTGTGGAGATGAGGTCTCGCTGCCCGGGCGGGTCTCGAACCTGTGGGCTCAGGCAATCCACTCACTTCAGCCTCCCAAAGGCGCGGGATTACAGGCTGAGCCACCGAGCCTGGCTCTTTTTCAGTTTTAAATTTAAGAGACAGGGTCTTAGGCTGGGCATGGTGGCTCAAGCCTGTAATCCTAGCACTTTGGGAGGCTGAGGCGAGTGGATTGCCTGAACCTGCAGATTCGACACCAGCCCGGACAACTCGGTGAGATCTTGTCTTTACAATAAATCAAAAAAATTAGCTGGGTATGGTGGCGCATGCCTGTAATTCCAGCTACTTGGAAGGCTGAGGTGAAAGGATCACCTGAGCCCAGCAGGTTGAGGCTGCAGTGGCCCTGAGCATGCCACTGCACTCTAACCTGGGTGACAGAGTGAGACTTTGACTAAAAAAAAAAAAAAAGAGACAGGGTCTCACTCTGTCACCCAGGCTGGAGTGCAGTGGTATAATCATAGCTCACTGAAGCCTCAACCTCCTGGGCACAAGAGATCCTCCCACCTTAGCCTCCTGTGTAGCTGGGACTACAGGTGTCCAGCTTGTCTTAAACTCCTGGTCTCAAGTGATCCTTCCACCTTGGCCTCCCAAAGTGCTGAAATTACAGGCATAAACCACCACCCCCAGCCTGTTCTGTACAGTTTTATCACGTGTGTGGTTTCATGCAACCACTGCCACAGTCAAGATATACAACATTCCACCACCACAAGCATCCCTCATGGTGCCTTTTTTTTTTTTGAGTTGGAGTCTCACTCTGTCACCCAGACTGGAGTGCAGTGG